TCACGGTTGGGTAAACTTAGTGGGAGTGGGAGTAATTCTATTTTTTTTTACAATCCTATTTGCTGAAATAGAAAACATTAAATTTACTCTCAGCTCCAAAAATGCTGCATTAGAAACAACTTGCACAAGCGGTAATTTGTTTTTTGTAATTTGTCGCAAAGATGATATAATACATTCATAAATGCATATAAATGTTCATATGTTTTTATATATAAAAAAAAAACTTTCAAGGATTTAAAAAAGGGTCTTGTGAAAAGGGTCCATTCAGCTTAAAATGCAATTTAAAGACTTAACTGAGTTAATTTGGCAAGTTAGGGTAATTAGGCAAGTCATTGTATAACCATAGTTTGTTCTGTAGACCCGTGGTTGTCAAAGTGGGGGACAATGAAGGGGGGTTGCCTGGTGATTTCCAAAAATCTATTTATTTTTATTTTATTAAACCTTAAGAATTACCAGATTTTATCCATAACCTACTGAAAAGACAAAAAATAGTTGTTTAGTTACTATATAGTTATTATAGTAGCTTTTAATTACTAGTTGTATTGGACTGCCACCCCTGGGCTAATAACATTATATTAAAGACACAGCAATAGCGTCAGATGCAGCAGATTGATTTTATAATACCAGGGTTAACATTCTGGCACATTTACAGCACTGACATACATCAAAAAATGAAACAAAGAATAAACTTGGGTCTGTTGGTGTGTGTGCGCCATTGCATGCACTGCTTTTTTCTAGCCAAAATAAAACTAATAAGACTTTTTTTACAGAAGAAAAAAATATTATTGGAAATACTGTGAGAAATTCCTTACTCTGTTAAACATCATTTAGGAAATATTTAAAAAAAGAAAAAAAAGAAAAAATCACAGGAGGACTAATAATTTTGACTTGTTGCCCTAAAACTATTGAACGACACCCATTCTTGTCATAGAACAATTTTGAAAAACATTTTTGATCCACTTTAAATGTTGACTACACTATTTATTTGTGCAGAAACAAATGAGATCAATTTACTTTATTGATTTTTTATTTTATTTTTTTTACATTAAGCAGTGGAATAAATTGTATAGATTCAGAAAATATGCATATTGCAATGTCAATTCTGGTTTGTCCTTCAGATGACTGTCATGAAAAATGATACTACCAGATCATTTCAAGGATGCTGGTGTTTCATCAAATCACTCTTGCACCAGTAAGTATTACTACAGTACAGTAAGTGTGTTTGAAAAGTGAACAGCTCTTTCTCTTCCATGTTTACTGTTTTGACCTGACCACCAGATTAATTCAGAGATAATTGTCAATGTGTACAAAACAGGGAAATACTGTGTCTGGTCTGAATTCTGTGTGTCTGGTCTATGAACTATTTTCAAACATCAGGAAGCACAACAATGCCATCTCTAAGAGGTACAGTTGAAGTCAAAATTATTAGCCCTCCTATGAAGTTTAAAATATTCCCCAAGTGCTATTTAATGTAGGGAACCTTTCTTTTAAACATTATATTGTAGTTTTAATAACTAATTTCTCATAACTAATTTCTTTTGTCTTTGCTTAAATGACACTATAATATTTGTAGATATTTTGCAAGATGCTAATATTTACAAGTTAGGTTAATTAGGCAAGTCACTGGACAACAGCAGTTTGTTCTGTTCAGCCAATTGACAAACTTAAGTTCTTAAGGGTGCCAATAATATTAACCTTAAACTACTTTTTATCCTTTGTTTTAAATTGCTCTCAGTTAACTAAAAAGCTAAAAGAAATGAGACTTTCTCCAGAAGAAAAAAAAATTATAGGAAAACATCCTTCCTCTGTTAAACATCAATTGGGAAATATCTAAAAAAGAAACTAATTTTACAGGAGGGCTAATAATTTTGCCTTCAACTGTATTTGTTTAAAGAACTCAGAAATACTTTTTGTTTTTCAGGGCACAAAGTTGAAGTCAAAATTATTAGCTCTCCTGTGAATTTTTTTTTTAATTTTCAAATATTTCCCTAATGATACAATTTAACAGTGCAAGGAATTTTCCTTAGTATTTCCTATAATATGTTTTCTTTTGGGGCAGCACGATGGCACAGTGGGTAGCACAATCACCACACAGTAAGACGGTCACTGGTTCCAGCCTCGGCTGAGTCATTTGGCAATTCTGTGTGGAGTTTGCATGTTCTCCCCGTGTTCTAATGGGTTTCCTCTGGGTGCTGCGGTTTCTCCCACAAATCCAAAGACATGTGCTATAAGTGAATTGGGTAAGCTAAATTGTCCATAGTGTATGTGTGTGAATGAGTGTGTATGGATGTTTCCCAGTGATGTGTTGCAGCTGGAAGGGCATCCACTGCGTAAAACATATGCTGCAAACATAAGTTGGCGGTTCATTCTGCTGTGGCGACCCCAGATCAATAAAGGGACTAAGCCGAAAAGAAAATGAATTAATGAATGTTTTCTTTGTTGAAAGTCTTATTTGTTCTATCTCGGCTAGAATATAAGCAGTTTCTAATTTGAAGGTCAATAATATTAGCCCCTAAGCATTTTTTTCAGTTGTCTACAGAACAAACCATCATTATACAATTATTTGTCTAATTAACCTAACTCGCCCAGTTAACCCAATTAACCTATACACTAGCTATATTACACGGACTGCACATTGATGAGTATAAGCTTTTGTACATGTGCAATAAAAAATCCCAGAGAAAACAATGCGATTCAATTTCACACGAGTACTAAACAGAACCAGTTTAAAGTATTTTAAAATGTCCTTTGACAATAGCAGAGTTATCGACCTCCAGGTGATAGATGGGCGCTCATCACTCGTGTATCCAGTGAGGGCGACTTTGCCTTGGCTAGACAATCTGACAATTTGCCTCTAACTTTGAAAACATTTAGTGCTATGATCATTGTAACAGAAAAGGATTGTGAATTTGAAAATGCTCATTTTAATCATGTTGGATTTAATCATTATTTTCCTTTTTTGAAATTATTCAAAAATAATAGCTATTTTTTTCATAATAAAATTAATTATATTTTATTACATACATTTTAAAGTAATTTCAAAACAAAACAACCCCAAAAACAGAAAATTCATTTTATTAAATAAAGTGTACATATTAAATATAATAAAATCCACAAGGCCACACTTTTTACAGCGCAGACTTTTTACGGGCTTTAAATTGTACTTTAAGCTGAATACTAGCATCTTTGCAAATATTTTGTAAAACACAATGGACAGTCATCATTGCAAAGATAAAAGGAATCAATTATTAGAAATCAGTTATTAAAACTATTATGTTTAGAAATGTGTTGAAAAAAATCTTCTTTCTGTTCCTTCTGAAAAATATACAGGGTGGCTAATAATTCAGGAGGGCTAATAATCTTGACTTCAACTGTACATGTGCTGTCTTTTAAATGTACTGTTGCATCTTTCGATTGTCTCAAATTGATTACACCACTCACAGTCAGCCAAGGGAGAAGGTCGCATGCATAAACTGCTCAGGTGGGACATATGGCAATGTTCTGAATGTCAGAGTCCCGGTACAGCATACCTCCGCTATGTTTCCTGCACTGCTTGAGGGCTTTACAAGACCATTACATGCCCAGTTAAAGCAAATAACGTCCATTCAGATACACAGTGTTCAGTCGCACGAAACCACCCTGTATGTGGGGAACAGAACTTCTTTGCCTTGGGCCCTGTCTCACCCATAATGACCTTCGATTTCTCAATCCCTAGGAAGTTAGAGGCAGTTTATTTAGCTAAAGTTTTACCAGTTCCATCACAAGCTTCTGTGGAACAGCATGCCAGGCTGAATTGAGCAAAGTTTAATTTTACGTAATGTTTTTAAAATGAGTTAAAGGGATTTTGTACCATAATTTACAACACCAAACTAGACAATATGTTACTTTAATGTATTAAAAATGTAAAAAAAATCACCCTTTTAAAGTTTTCAGGCCTAAAAGTTTTTGGAGGAAAGATTAAAGTCCCAAAAATGCAATTCTAAATCATAAATAAATAAGGAAAACTTCTAATTTACAGATATTTTTACAGTGTAATTGACTTTGAATCACAGAGATCGAAGACGAATTTAAATGAAGGCTAAGCTGTTTGGTCACCCTATTAGGACTTTTCCGCATTACAGTATGCTTAAAGTGCCACTTTATTATTAACACGAGTAGCATGTTAGCCAAGCTCCGTTAATCTTTGCCCGAAGCGCACATTGAAAACAAGGATGTTGACATTTCTAATGTTCCCGGAATATGTGACAACAGCATTTTATAAGTTTAAGATTAATAGAAGCTAATTGGGATGGAATGTTCATGCAACATGGAGATTTATGCTCTGTCAGCTGTTTAGACCTTCCAAGAAAATTCCTAGAGACCGACTATAAAAGTTAAACAGCATGAATTATCGCTGGTAAAGATTTTTTAATGGCCTAATACATACATCACTAACTAATAGTATTTGTAGATCTATTTTTAAGTATGAAATGCGATCGATGGAATAAAATAATATTCCTAACAGATGAATGTTTTCCCGCTTTCATTGGTCATTTGAGTCCAGTGTTTTTTTAGATTACAGATACTGATTTTGTGCTCTCATTCAGAGCTTGTTCTTCCTAAAGCCGCTCAAGTGTCACCCATATCCTGGCTCAGCCCTTCCTCTAACGCCCCAAAAACTTCTCAGACCAGGTTTATCGCTTCTCACATGCCTCATATCTGATCTGTGTATGACAGCAACAGGAAACAAGGAATAGCCCTTTTGGGGAGGATTTGGTAGGAGGGTGACAACCTTTTCGGGCTAGACAAAATGTTTTTTGTCCATTTAAAATTATTTAAACACAACACTAAGGTTGAAATATATTCTGTGCCATATTCGAGTTTAAGTTAAGATCTTTTTAAACTTCATTATTTGACAAAAAAAAAGTAACAATCACAACAAATGAATAAAATAATACTCTCATTTGTTCTCACAGTTCTGGTAAATAAACAAGCCGAATGAGAATGCAAATGGTGCCTACCTGCTCTGTGTCTGTTGCTGTGAGAGTGTGGCGTTCTTTGAAGTTTCCACCTGAGTGCAGAACTGCTCTCAAACTCCACTGGCCGTTTTGGATTGGGTAAGTGTGTCAAGACAGACAGAAAACCAGCCCACCTGTACGCATGCTTAAGAAAAAAATCACATGCTCTATGTGAGTGAGTATATGTTGAACTTGCAGCCATACTGACTGCTTCAATGAGTTGTAGACGTCAATTACTCAATAATGCTATGATATAAATATAAGGGTGTGGCTTTCTGTTCATGCTTTGAAGTTAGGCTTTATTTTATTGTGTTTATCAGGTGTATCTGTTTGAATTGAATAGTCTTTATTTCTGTAGTTAGCAAAACTACATCAGTCAAGATTAGGGTTAAGGACAATTTAGGACAAATAATGGTAAACGAAGGGAGGAGACAAATGTAAATAGACTGCGGTAAATATTGTGCAGTGTTTTTTTTTTTTTTAATGAATAAAAGTAGGGATGTTCACACCAAGGGTAATAACTGTACCCTTCTGAAACTGAGATAAAATGTCATTGGGCACATCATGAGTTTGCCAAGTATGATGCGATCCTGGATTAACGTCTTTGTTGATCCTGAAACATCATTTTTGTTAGAAAAGGTAATCCATAGCTATTCCCTACCCCCAAACCCAACCATAACTGTAAATTATTTCCAAAATCAGGAGAAATAATTGCTGTATACAATCATGTAGACGAGCAAAACCCTAACTTTAAGCCTAAACTTAACATTAACTGTAAACTTAACCCTTAATTCTGTTTGGCTGATTAGAATGTTGTTCCAGGATCGACATAGATGTCAATCCAGGATCATGTCCTACTTGGTACAATCAGGTTGGCGATGTCATTGGAATCACTTTCAGAACCTTTTTTCTCCCTGGTGGTGTACTATTATGTCATGAACTGCATTAACAGATGTGTTCAGCATTTAAAGTGGCAGACAACATATATCTAGCATGTGCTTATAAAAGACAAAATATTAAATGGTGTGGAAACTATCATAGTATTTATACTTAGTATGAATGGGCCTTAAAGGGTTAGTTCACCCAAAAAAGAAAATTATGTTATTAATTACTCACTCTCTTTGGACCTTCATTCATCTTCAGAACCCAAATTTAGATAATTTAGATCAAATCCTAGAGCATTTTTATCTTCCATATACTGTACAACAATGTTCCCGAGATACTCAATGTTCAGAAAAGTTGCCAAAAACAAAATCAAAACAAAAACAAAAGTCAAAACATTACACGTGACTTCAGTGGTTCAACTTTAAAATATGATATTGTATTGGACCGCCCCTTTAAACTTTATATGATGTGTAATGTAGCTGTGTGAACACAAACAACAGGACACGACACAAAGACAGAAGTGTTTACAGTTTAATTTGAATTATGTTCCAGAGAAAAAATATATAGCATATATATATAGCATTTGACAAAGGACAGCTTCCGGAATCTCTCCCAGTTCATTGCTGGATTGCTGGACATTTTTGGCTAAAATCTTCTCAAAAGAGCAGCTCCAACCATAATAGACGGAGCTGTGGATTGTGAGCCACGACCAGTAAGTATTTTTATTTGTCAAAATTGATCAATTACATGCACAGTGTGTAGCGTTAAAGGTATTTTGTAGCGAGGACGTAAACAATTATGTAAACAACAGGAAATGCTGTTTGGCATCGCTAACAGTTTAACTACAAATTCATATTTATCTGTCAAATCACTGTAAACAGCCACATTCTTCACCAGTGCTGCAGTGTGCGGCTGCTTTCTCTGCATTCAACACCTCAAATAACAAACTCGCTAAAGATATGTGAACGTTTTATATTCTTTACACATACTTATTCCGAATATATATGAAATACATTAGTCAGATTTTATTTTAGAGAGCAGGCGTTAGGTTCAGCTGTGTCCTCTGTGTCATTTTCTGTCTGGTTCAGGCTCAAACTGATGTGGCCTACAGCTACTCTGACTGAGTGTTTAAACAGCGCAAAAGGGCATGCTTGTAGGGGCGTGGCGCTTTTCCTGGTGACGTGGAGCCGATCCGCAACTCACAGCACGTTATGTTAGCTGACCAATCAGAGCCTCTTGAGTTTGAGCCTTTCGGAGGAACTAGGACATAATTTTCATTTAAATAGTTTTCATGTTGTCTTAGTATAGCTGGATATAATCTAAGTAGGGTATATGAAATATATATATATATATATATATATATATATATATATATTTTTTTTTTTTCTACAAATGAAGCACGAGCACACATTGGTTTGCGTATTATAAACACAACCAAGCCTTAAAATTCCACTCTGGACTACCCCTTTAATCATATGAAGCTCTAAGAAAACCTTGTTCTGCCAAACCTGCACAAAAAGCAATTCCATCATTCAGTAAAAACAGAGTTACATCGCGTAATTGTTGCATTTTATTAGGCATCTGTTTCTTTTGCCCAGATTAAAATTTGCTTTCTAAGAATGAATTATACATTTACTGATTGAAGGCAAAGTTTGGTGCATACTTTAGCTGCACTTATTTACAATTAGAGGTGAAAGTGTGTTACCTGTCACCAGCACAACATGAAAGCAGCATATTGCTTATAGTAATCATGGACCCTGAACTGACATGGATAACATAATTTCATCTTTAAAGTTTATTTGGTGCACAAAGTTGGTCTTGGAGCTTCATATGATTACAGTTGAACCATCAACGTCATGTGGAATGTTTTGACAATGTTTTTGGTTCCTTTGCTGTATATGAAGGATGAGGGAATAAATAAGTTAAACTTATTTGACTCCCAAAGATAAACGAAGGTCTCTGGGAATTGGAACAACACAAGAGTAAGTAATTAATAACAGTACATATTTATATAAGAGTACACCTAACTTAAACTTAAATTCATTTGATTTGATGAAAATGACTAAATACAGAGCTACAAAATCATTAATGACACGAGGGTGAGTAATTCATGACAAACATTTCATTTTTTTTTTATGACAAACATTTAAATTTTTTTCAAACAAGCAGCTCAGATTTGATTTGGTTATACATAAATGCATGTAAGTAAAAAAAAAATGGCATAAAGTAAAAGGAAACCAAAGTGCTCCTGGGAGTAAGGACGTGTTGTCATAGTAAACACAGACAGCATGAACATGAACTTCTTGTTGTCAGTAGTCTAGAGTTACAGCTAGTTCACAATGCACAATAGCTGCTGTGAACAAGACATTCAAAACCCATTTATTAAAATCTGTTTTAAAGCCACTCGAAAAATCTCAAAATCTCAGCCCCTTAATTAGAGGCAAGATGAGGAAAGCCATGACTTACAGATGCACAGCGTACCATTCATCTGTCAGGTGTTTTGATAGGGTGTAAAGAGTTTACTGGACCAAAGGAGAATTTAGTCTTTCTTCAGTTCTCTGAAGACAAGACAAAAGCTCTCTTTAAACCACATTAAAATGTCCTCTCTTTGCATCGCAGGAGCATTCAGTAATCTCAATTTCGTATGAGATGAGGTAAGTCTGACTTATCAACATTTTACACAGGTTTCTACTGTTGCTACAAGCAAACTTGATGTAATGGAAACAAGACATTACTGTTCAGCCACCGGAACTTTTACATCCTGGTACAAACAAAAATTACCCACATATATCAATGGTCTGATTAGAAATGCAGGTGTTCAGATTCACTGTAGGCTTTCAAATTGTGCTACCTGGAAGTATGAACCGTCAACTAATTCAACATATATTTTAAGCAGTGGATGCCCATCCAGCCCCAACCTAGTACTGGGAAACACATATACGTTTTCACATTCACACACACTAATACACTATGGGCAATTCTATATTTTTGTGGTCTCTTAATGTTTCGTTCATTTCTATCAATTGTTATTGCTTAAAAAGTGCTTACAAAGATTTGTTTCAAAACAATTTCTAAATTCAGTTCTAATTTCCAGCAAACTAGTAAATGAACAATAACAACAAAGTGTGGCCAAAAAACACAAAAAGAAGAGTCCTATTTTTATACCCCATATGATCATGCATACTGTACATCTCCAAAACCCGACAGGTGGACAAATCTAAACTTTTTTTAATTAAAACAAATGCAAATATACATATAATAAATAATACTGCTAGTAATAGTAACATTATAAAAATGCGAATTGTCATGAATAAACTAAAAAAGCCCCGAGGTAAAGGCATGGAGGCAGGGGTTTTTATATTTATGTAGAAAATATTTTTTTTTACATTTTAATACTTGATTTTTTTTTATTTGTTTAGATATTTGTGTATTGCTGTACATCCTGTGTGTATTAAGCAATGTGTATGCATTTGGACCTGCATGGGTGCATAACTAACACGCTCTGTGCTGGACTTGTAGACCATGTTTTACTTGGTCAATGGTGCAGTCCATTTCAGTTTCTCAAAATAGCAACGTGTCAACAATGTGCCTTAACACACCTCCTTTATAGTCCAGCACACCCATTAAAGTGGTGCAAATGGATTTGCTATTTAGACAACGTGACGCAAAAGGTGAAAATTAGGGTTACGCTGGTCTGAAAATAGCAACAAATTTCATCATCGTCTCGTGCCTTATTGCGCCGGATGTATGATAGGGCCATAAATTTTCATTTTTGGGTGAACTATCTTTTTAACTTTAAATACTAGTTAAATTCACTCTTATTATAATAGACAATTTTATCTGATTGTGTAGTTCATTATGTTTTGGAATAGACTAATGTTCTTTGTATATTATGCTGTGATTAATTTTCATCCCATTAACAATCTTTAAACCTGACGCTGTATTTTTTGTGATGTTTGCTGTGTGATGTTGGCACACAGTAATGATATGTTGCTTGTCTCCTCCTCCTAAGTTCTTTAAATGCCTGTGCGTGCTATTGAGTGAGTGTATACATGTCTATTCAAGGTATTTGGTGTCCAATGATTCAGAAAGCATCCCCGTTTAAATGTCTTCCTTCAAGCAAACCGGCAAACAAACAAACAAACAAATAAATGATTGTAGCACTGCAGGGACCCTGTGGGCCACCCTGTATACAGAACACACTGGTGGTGTGAGTCCTGGTTCACTGTTGCCCATTAGCTAGTCTCACATGCAAACTATTAAGAGAAACGCAGACGACCTGAAACAGACTATTTATGCTTGTGCTTCTCGAGAAGGAACTTACAT